TACGTACGACTATACTACACACACACACACACACACACACACACACACACACACACATACCTCCCCCCCCCCCCTCAAGAAAACACTAGCCTTTCAGCTATTAGTCATCCTTTACAAAATTCTTGTTTTCCCTTATAATAAATTCACGGGTTGACGGATACGGAGTGTCTCTCCACGCTAGATCATGACCATCAGAATCCATTTTTATCCCGACACATAACATCTTGACGCATAGTTCTATCAGTAACGCAAATTAGTCCATATGGCACGGATAGATTTACATTTTGAAATGTTCTGGTGGTGGTATGAATGCTGGCAGTGGGAACTGTGGGGCTACCATACGCACTGACGATGTAGGGTTTGCTCATCCCCTAAGGAGCTCTCAGGTTCCTCTGGCGATGGTGAGCTTAGACTAATCTTGCGCTGCAACGCCAACAATCCTAGGATATGGTGATGGAGAAGCGGCCCGCGGCAACGCGAATCGCATAAGGGGCTTTGCAGAGAAGGGGGAGGACTTACCCACAAAAAGCGATCTGCGTGGGATGGGAGCAGTAGCGGCGGCATCAATGCGACCTCATCAGTGATATCGTAGTCGTTCTTGATACTACGAACTCCCCATTCAAATAATGCCGTCTACTCCCCCAGAAACCGCATGGTGGGGTGAACAGCGTAGACTCTTGTCCCGTAACCTACCATAATTCGATTAGAAAATTTTGCAGTACTGATGGCAAATGGATTTATAAACTCAACAACCCTGTGTAAACCTTAGCCATTAGCTATATCACGAAAAAAAAAGGGCCTTCATAGGAAACCTCACAGGAGAATAGGAGCCTCCATACAAAACGTGTTATCGAGTTTTTCATTTCCCTGTCAAGCTGAGAAACCCCCTTGAAATGGTAAAAAAGACTTGTCAAAACTGCAATTAAGTAAGAGCCTGCCTTTCTCTACGCCAAGATTACGCTCGCTGTTGACATAGATCGTTGCCACAATCAAGCTTTCGCTAGTATTAAGCTTCGCTAGAAATTCCTTTTACATAAGCATGGCGAAATGTAAAGAGAAACAACCCTAATAAAGAAAAAGCGGAGGTTAGATACTATAGAGCCCGCTGGCATCATTACTAAAAAGAACATTACCTAATATACCCTTCCAAAAGGCCAGCGCTCGTGCGTTTTGACGCACAAAGGAAAAAAACAAAAGAAAATAATGTTTCCCATTTTAATTCTCCCTCTCTTTTCCGTATCTGGATCATTGATCGAATTTTCTGTTAGAAAAAGTAAAAAACGAACTCATTGTAAAAGATATAATGAAAATAATAATAAAAAAAGCATCTATGAAGAAACATCAGGTAACCCTTTTGGAGTTGCGGTTTGTTTCTTTAAAAATTCCTCAATGAGGTTTAATGACGCTCACCACGCAGACGCAGAGCAAGCTGCACATCCTTGGGCTGGATGGTCACACGCTTGGCGTGGATACAAGCCAAGTTGGTGTCCGCCAGCAGCGACACAATGTAGGCCTCCGTCGCCTCCTGGATCGCGAGAATCGCGCTGCTCTGGAAGCGCATGCCCTCCTTCTGCGTGCTCGACACCTCACGCACGAGGCGCTGGAAAGGCGCGCGCTGGATCAGCAGGTCGGTGCTCTTCTGGTACGATTTGATCTCGCGCAGGGCAACGGTGCCCGGACGCCAGCGGCGCTGCGCGTGCTTCACACCGGACGCCGCCTTGGGAGCCTTCTTGCTCTTCTTGGAGGTGATGCTGCGCTTGGCGCGGGCAGTTTCCTTTGTGCGGGACATATTTCTTTGTAGGTGCGTGCTTAGAAGGTTTGGTAGTAGAATAAGAAACTGAGAGTGATGAACTTCATAAAAAAAAAGGTAAGGAGAAAAGCAAATTTGGAGCTAAGCCTCAAGCGAGGTAATGTAATACATTCATTATTGTTGACACTTGTTTAATGAAATATAACAACAAAAAAAAGCGTTAAGGCAACCATTTAGACTATGTATGTGCGAATAAATCTATATTGTAACTAAAAGAAGCTTGGATATCTGCGAAGAGGAGCGTAAGCACATATCTGCCCAAAGGTTCTACTGTCTATGATTGAAAATACCGGCAACGTTGAGGCTTCCTAGTGCAATTCATGCTCAACAAGACCCAAAATATAGTCATCCATGACACGCTCCACCTCCTTCACAACCTCACTGAAGCAGTCCTCTAATAAAGTGTTAGTTAGCCTCTGAGTAAATAAGTATTGTGAAACTTGGCTTGTATTATATTGTCTTTCACTATAAGAAATGTACTCATGTGCTTTGTGTTGGTGTGCCAGCAAACGCCTCACAACTGAATCGGGCATCCTTTCTCCCCTCTGTTTCAAGTGCAAAGCACGACTCTCCTCATGTATGGAAAAGGGATCCAAGGAGGGTAACACGGTCGGATTCTCCTCCACGTCATGCTGTTCTCCCAATGTAGTACCGATAGGAGAAGGCAAGGACGGGGAAGTAACCAATAGACTGTTCTTCGAGAAATCATTGTAGTTGTGTGCTTGCTCTGGAATTCTCGCTGAATGGTGGTTATTTTCTTGTATATCATTGTAAACCGACGCCTCGACCTTCTCCAACTCAGTCTCCATGAAATCAATTCTCTGTTGTAGCTCTGTGTAAGCCAACATTTCATTACACAGAATATTGTATTCCTCTTTTTCTGTCGTTTTTGTGTCCGTCACTATTGTGGGGGTGGCCCTGTGTCTCGTACCTTCTGAGAGAAATCCCTGAGAGGACATCTGGGACCTCGTCTGATTGGCTTCTAGGGTTGAGACCTCCAATCCGCTGCTAGCTACTTCCTGAAGGATCCGCTGATGATCCTGAAGCATTTTATCAATGGTACTAGAGAGTTGTTGTAGAGAATCAGTGTTATCAAGAGACACCTGAATCCCTTCCTCGGCGCTGGGATCGCCCATTTCAAACTTTGCTTCACTACCACCCTTCATGGTAACGGAGGGGGACTGGGAAAGTGCTTCGGACTGCCGTTGCTGCACCTCAGATCCCTGCAGGGCAGCGATGGATGGAAGTTGCTCCGACAAGATTGAGGCAGCATGGCAAATGGCCTCCATCGGAAGGTGCCGCACGCCATAGGGACTCAGGGGCTTCGCCTTTGGAGTCGGACTGTTGCATGCGATGTGACGAGTGCTGTGAGTATCATTGTTCGATGAAAGTGTCAATACGGGCTTGATCTGCTTCCGGGAGTCCTGTTGACCCGAACTGGAGCATTCACTGACAGAAGTATTCATTTCATGCGAAGCACTCAAAGTGCGGAACACCATATCCGTCTGCTGGTGAAGTGATGTCAAGTTGGCTCGCGGTCGCGACGACAGTGATGGACCTGGAGCATGTGCCATAGGCGATGGAGCCGCCTGTGATACGGGTTCATGGTCCTGGTGACCTTGAGACCCCACGACCTGAGCACTTCTTCGGTGCTTACGGCTATAGTCCTCCCATGATGAGCAGTGTATTGTCGAATTCCCTCTCTCCTTGTCCGTCGGGATAGGGTGTGGTGGACACGTGGAGGATGATGCACTCGATCGAGCCCTTATCTTTGCTACCTTTCCCCTCCGCCTTCGTGCGGGCTCAGGCATCTGATCAAGCTGGCGTTCGACAGAAGTGACGGAACCCAAGGTAGATGCCTCTTTCTTCCCCTCTATTGAAACGTTCGATTGATCGCATGCATGGACATCCTTTACTAATGATTCACTGTAGTGATGTTTTGGAACGGCCATCCGAACAAAGAAAGCATCCTTCTCATCATTAGATCGAAAGCGACGAGAGCCTCGAGACGCAATCACTGACTTGCGATGTTGACACGATATATTCAGTGTGCTATCATTCACTATATTGGCTCGATTGATTGCATTTACATCAGCTCTAGAGCGGGGTGTAAATGAAGGTTTATTATTTAAGGCTGCCGCCATGGCGCGCTCGTCATCTCGCGTTCGGCGCGGCAAGTACGTTGAAAACAAAGTTTCTCCCCTGGGGGAGTGAGAAAGACGTGAACTCTGATTGCAAACCCTAACAAGGTTGTTCCGATATTCTTTATCACCTAATTTACCGATATGCACCTTCGAATATATCGAATGTGTAGATGCATTGCGGGTAGGCACCGCTGCATTGCTCGAAAACGGCCCATAAGAGGAGTAACTCAACGCTTCCCTAGAGGTAAGCGCATCAAGACCTACTGCTTCGATCATATCCATCACATCCGCATGCGCAATCCGCTGTACTAGATTTAGAAGTTTGAATCGATGTGCTAGAAGTGCATATTCAGTAGCATCGGAGCATATTGCTGCAGCCATTTCTAATGATTCTTGTTGATTACAATTCTCTACTCTATTTCCATGTTCGTCAGGAGGCATTTGAAAATGTGGTTAATGAAAAGAGATAGAAAAGAAACAATAATGAAATATTAGAGATACACTCAAACTGTATGTAATGTAATTCAAAAGTAAAAAAAGTACGAGGAACTCTATGATAACGGGAAAAACGGAGGGGAAAGCGTGTAGTTATTAATATAACTATCCAGTCGAAATGATGAAAACCAAGCTCCAAACTGTTCCAGTTTCTTTTAGATTTCGAGACCTCAAGCGAAGAGAAGAGAAGAGAAGAGAAGAGAAGAAAGTGTGACATTTGAAAAAGACCGTAATTCAGAATAGATTAATAAGAGTATAGCACATTAATAGATACGGAAGTGTATTCATTAAGCATTCAATGAAGGTTTCATCGTCTTTTAAAGTTCAAAATTCCAGGGGCTTAAAATGCACCAACTTATTATCAATATTAATTCGTAACTTACAGTGTAAACTGAAAATAAGATATAAAACACAATACCCAGCAAACATTTCTAAGGAAGGGATGTCAATGTAGCTATAAGTTGCTTGGCATTCTCAAAAAGGTAACATCTTGATTTCATACGTGAGAGCCTGTTTTATACTTTCCCCTTCAAAATTAGCGCTGCTTCCATACAAAACAGCTTTGAAATTGATTGCTGAAAAAGTGCACAAAGTCAAAAAGTCGTTCAGCGCTTGTTTCTGCTAGTATTTTGCATCTTTTTCGTTGCTAAGCAGATGACCTTTAACTTCAAGCTTTGATGAAGACTCAACCGGGATGCATATCGCCACTTAATCAAATAGCAAAACTTTTCTCATTAATGAAGACAAATGTTAGCCAAAGAGGCTGTAAAGTCTCTCACCCATAGCATCCCCCTCATTTGGTGTCTGAATTATCATGGTCGACATCGGTGTCTTCTTCTTCGACACACATATCACCATCGCCCTCATCAGCCTCACGAGTGTAATGCAAAACAGCGCATGGTATGATGTTGTTGTGCAGAATCCGAAGAACATTAATAACGTCCTCCTCATCCTCATCCTCATCGTCGTTGTCGTTGTTGTCATCATCCTTCTTGTCCTGGAAAATATTAAAGAAGGAGTTGCACGGGACTTGTTTCATTTGTGCCCGACTATTGCGCTTTGTATGTTTAACTTTAGCAGGTTCCATCGTCAAATTTTTGCCCTTCTTCCACGTGAGGGGTCCACGCTTTACTGTCAATCCTTTATCACCCATAACGACTGCGATCGTAAGTTGATCCTCATGGAAGTAATCGTTTGGGGAAAAGGTAAAAATCACTTCAAAACTACCGTAACCGCCGTCTATAGTTCGTGATAATACGTCAATCAGATGCTTTAACGCTCCCTCATCCCGTGCGGTGATCATACTGGCCAGCGTTACGTTATTACACAGTGCGCTAAGCCAAAACTCGGGGAGCCCTTCTCGCTTACTTCCCTCGCCCGCCTCTTTCGCAATATCTACTTTCCCAGTATGCTCGGCTGGGAAACCCTTCATCACCTCCGTATCTGTTACCTCTGAACCCATTCCATTGATAATTTCCCTCCGCCTCTCCAAAATAGGGGCATATTTGGCATCAAACTCTTTTCGAAGCTGCTGCTCCTGCTGCTCAATCCTTTCCTGAAGCTCCATATAATCATCATGGTACTTGAGTAGGACCTGTACACGATCTTTAATCTTCTCAGGCAAGCTCTTCATAAACTTTTCTGAGTAATGCAGATCAAAATACTTCGCCATATTCGCATTAGCTACCATAGGCTCAATGAGCTCATCGTCTGAATCATGTTGAGCTTTAGGAGGCATGTCCCTTCAATTTTGTGCGTGTTGATGTTGCTTATTTGCTTCACCTTTCTCTTCGAGTTATATCTTATACAAAAAGATAAACAGTTATAAGTACGGCACCCCATCCAACACACGCACATCACAGATGTAAGGAAAAAAAAAAGAATAGAAAAAAGAAAGAAAAAAATGAATTATATGAAGAAAGATGGCACCGGGCTAATATGACAACCTATTCACATCGTGAAATGAAGCAATAAAGCCACAACAATGCAATACAAGGGAAAAAGTTTCTTTTTGGTGTTTGCGGGTGTAATCTACTAAAGCATTACAGTCCAGTGGGGGGTGCGCAAACCATGTTGAGCTCTAGCGCTGCTGCAAGTGCAGACGCCATAATCTCCACGTACACCTCGGCACCAGACACCGCAAGGATGTCCAGACAACTCATGCCATAGCGGTTGATAGCGGCGGTTGGGCAGCCAAAATTCACCAAGAGTAGTGCTATTGACAACAACAGCTCCAAGAGAGCAACCCTGTCGTCCTCCTGGTTCGGTAAGCCTCCGACGTTCCCATGCACGGCAGCATCGTCAAATGGCAGAGGGCTTGAGCTCTCGATGTCGACGTGCAAATTTGAGGGTTTGGGATCGGCGATTGTGCACTTGAGACGTCGCATTACTTGACCAAAGGCAACATGGAGTGCGGTGCAACCTTCTTCATCGCGGCACAGGGCGTGCTTGGGGTTCATAGAAAGGAAATCCTTGAGTGCAGACAAGTTCATCTTGTCCACCAAAAAAAATATCTCACTCAAGGAGTTCGGTGCCACCAACGTTCTATTGGCGGTGCGACTCGTATCAGCATGATTACCCTCACAAACGTAGTGGAACGCATCTGATGTATCTTCTGAACTCATGTCAAAATTGCAAGCCAACTCTAGAGGCCCTACTATTGAAATGACTTCCGGTGAAGCACCTACCACGTCGACAGAAGTTGGAGCCCCCCCCCATACCTTTTCATCATACCGAATAGATTTAGCTTGCCTCGCCATCTCTTGTATTCCATTGACATAGAATTCAGCCAAAGGGCGGGCCCAACTATCGCTACCATCTGCAGATGGCATTGCAGCCACGTCGGTGTCAGCCTTGTGATATTCGGTACTTTGTAAATCACGGGAAACGACTTCGGCGGCAATGCTATGTATGCTAGGAGTCATCTCTGATTTTTCCACAGATGGTATTGTGATGCCCAGCAAACGAGACAGAAGCTGCCCACGTATCACACGTGGAAGACACCACACCCCACAAGCCACAGGGGCTAAAGTGGACATGAAATTTGCTTCCCTTTCCCGCTCCTCAACATCCAAATACTGCGCCCCGTTACTCCCATTGCCCCCCTTGAGTTCACCTGGGGAATCATTGGTGATGTAGCGCCGCTCTTGCCAGTATTTTAAAAGGAGATCAATCCAATAATTAACGTCGCCCCGCTTAACATTGCCATTGCATGTCTCAGTTTGATGGCTCAAGAAATGCGATTCCACCGATAACAGTCTTGGGGAGAAGTAACTTGAGACATAAACTCGTGAACGTAGCAACGCAAGTGCATCACGCACGAAGCCCCGACGAAATAGTAGGCAACTAAGAATTCTGTATTCCCCTAGCCCCACAAGCAAATCATAGCAGTCCTCAACTTGAAGGCCAATGCTAGTGGAAATGACGCGGTAAACACCACGGTCGTCTTGCTGATTCAGTGCTAACACTAGAAGCACGTACTCCATTACTTGTGCTGCAGAAAGTTTTTCGTCACATATTTCTCTTAAGTTATTCGCATTCGTTCCATCGGCGCCGCTTGCCCCGGTGGCTGGAGTACCTGCCACCTCTTTCCATAGTTTTGCTAGACGAAAAGAAAAGTATTCGAGGATGGCGTCTCGAAAGTCCTGCAAGCATCGAGCTGTAAACTCTTGCGCAGTAACGCATCCCATGTTAGGCACCTGACGTGTGATGGCATGCAAAGGTTGCGACGACAAACGAACACCACCACCTGCTTTCATAGCCTGTCCACAAGTGTTCTTATTATTGGCCTCTTCCTCAGCTAAAGATAAATTTTGCCCTTGTGACGCTTGCCGCTCTCCATAGCCCGTAGAGCTATGCGGGTAGACGTGGTAGGACGAGGCTGGAACATCTAAGGGTATAAAAGGAAAGGTCTCATAAGTCTCGAACCACGCCTGCTCAAGACCTCCAACAGGTAGGTTCCAAGACGAGCACTGGCACCAGTCATTGCACGTAGGCCTGGCTGGCATTTTCTGATAGCTTCCCCTAGCTCCGCTGGTGATGGAGGTGTCAACTCTGCCTTCTCGGTCTTGGGCATCTATCTTCAAGGAAAGTGATGAAGCAGTGAGTCCTGGCAGAGCAAACCCCTCCTCCACAATCTCGTCATGCATCTCAACCATCGGTGAGATGCACTGCAAAGGGGTATGTTGGGCCTTTAAATATCGTTGCTGCCGCGGTTCAGGCAGAGATGCGCACTCGGGCAGATGCATCGCCAACTCCCTTGGGTTGATAGTTTCACCAAAATACTTCATCGCTATATGTGGTCGGGCACGTTTTAGGCACGCGATTCCCGCCCTTCTCTTCAACTCCTCCTCAAGACCTCGTTGAGAGCTGTGAGTACTCCTCTGGTAAGCCGTCAGAAGCTCAAAAGCCTCTTCAATTTTAAACCGCTCAACCATCGCCGTAAGCTGGTATCTAATACCCTGTAATGTAGCCATCCACAGTGTGCGTGCTCCTGCCATAAACACCCTCCGTCCGTGTATGGGCTTAGGGGCAAAACAAACACCTGGCAGCGGCAAGCTCTCAATCGGCTCCTCCTCAAAAACGGAAAATACATCACAATAATCCTTGTAGAAGGCAAAAAAGAACGGAAATTGCGAAACGATAGCCCGCACCTCGTCTCTGAGATAGTACACGCGACCTTGCAAAGGGGTGCCAATGGACGTTGTTGGTAGAGCTCCGACTGGCTGAGAGAATGCCGACGCAGATGTGGTAGGTATGGAATAAGGGGTACTCGTAGTTAGCATGCTTTGCATTGATGTGGTAAAAACACAGTGACGATAACGCATGTACACACCACCACCCTCACCAAAAGCTAGCAAAGGGGAGTGCGAAGTCCCGTGCAGGCTCAGGAGCCCCTTTGATAAACCGTTGTCTAGGGAAAGCACGCTGTACTCCCGGCGCATGCCGACACACACGACACCAGCCTGAGCCACCAGTGCGAGAGCAGGCTCCGGAAGTAGCAGTTCCTGCTTGAGCACCGCTCGGCTGTTTTTATTCTGATTAAGGTTAACCTCAAAAGCAAAAAGACTCTTGCCGGAGTGCTGTGCGGCACAAATGACATGCGTTGCTGCTTCCTCGGTCGGACACTCAACTGGGGGTGCTGACTTTGCACCATAGATGCGAGTCAGAGACTGCAACGTCTCGAAGGGAGCCTCAGTGTTATTCGGTCCGAGGGGATAAATGAAAAAGGTTCCAATGCTACCTGGAACATCAAACAGGTAGGTTAAGTCTAGCGCATTGAAGGCACAGAGATGCTGATTGCTTAAGGCAAAAATGATTGGATGGCTCTGACTATGTTGAATATGTGTAATGGGTATCGAAGCCGTTTCAGGGAAGCGTGTGAACGCCAAGAGGCTCGTGTAGATTGCCTCTGGAGCTATGTCATTAGCAACGTCCTCCTCCTCCTCCTTAGCGAGCTTGTCATCATCCAACTCAGTGAGTGATGTGTTTGTGGAAGTTGAGTGAGGGTTAACACCATTCCCATTACTATAACACACATTATCTGCCGACCGCATATCGTATTCCATCAGCCCTTCTACCTGAAGGTAAAGCAAGCAACCTGTGTTGGTGCCCACATATACATGATTAGCATAATTCTCAAATGCAGTTATATTCCCATGCTCTGGTCGCATATCGTAAAGTTTGACAAGAAACTTCACCGCCCGCATTTACACAGGCTGTGTACAACGCTTGCTACTGCAAAAGCAAGCCTTATTTAGTTTCCCACCTCTAATTTGCGACTCTGTAGGACCTCCAAATTGGAATATGCGCAAGCGTTTACCAACTGGAGAATGCAAAGTTGTTAGATTATGAATAAAAAGAAGCCGTGTAACCACTGTTTATATTACCATTCTTATCACGGTTGCTTAATGCGCTCCTGCCGAGGTTACTTAGCTGAATTGGATCTAGCTTCGATAATTTCACATTACGAGTAAAAAATAAGAAAAAAGATGGAGATAAAATGGATCACTGTTGGTAGTCAAAACGATGAAAGAATTAGTCTAAGCATTTTCCCTTTTCCTGTGAACGTTTGTTGGGAGCTAAAACAAACAGAAATATTTTTTGGCAACCTCTGAGCTGTAATACACTATAGTTAGGAACCCAACATCCCACTGAAAAAGCACAGGCCCACACTATCGGCTAGTCTTGCCGCCACTGATGCCCACACTGCACGCACTTGAAGAAGATTGTCGCAGGCTCGTCCGCCGATCGCATCTGAATTTGAATATAAAATGCTTTTTCGCTGGAACATGGTGGATCTTCATTAGGGCAATTAATCGTCATGACCTGTCCCCCTTCTGCACCTCCTATCGCTCCATCTGCATCTGTGTGATTACTGATGGAGAACTTGTCGTTATCAGCACAACCGCCGTCACCGCTAGAAACTACCTCCACTTTACTGTACTCCGCATCGTCACCACACACTTTTTTAGAGCCGTGAAAAGAATGCGTAATGGTGAGCACAGGCCTGTGATTGCAAGTGAGAGGAATGAATCGGACGTAGTTGCAAGTGGTACAAGAAAATCGATTTTGGACCGAGCACGCTTGTATCAAAAGTAAGGTTCCACAATAAGGGCAAAAGAACATGTGTGTTCAACTAATACCTTTCTTTCGATTAAATTCAATAATATGTAAAAAAAAATGATAATATACGTGATAGCAATGCCAATGTAGTCTCATCTCCACCTTACTTGAATCAAACATTATATAAGCATATCGCTCCTATTTATATCATTTGTTCGTACTTAAAGTAATAATAAGGCGCTGAGATGTCAAGAAAAAAAGCTCCCCATAGAATGTGTAGTGCTGCTGCTTGTTTTACGCCTTCAGATATAACAACTGAAAATAAGGTTTTCACCCTTCATATAGATAGGGAAGAGTAGGGAAGCTATACATTTCAAACGCGTTTCTTCACTTTATTCCTTTATATTTAAATCCGCAAAACTTGCTCATAGCGCAGGGACTTCTCTCAATTATCCCTTCCCAACACACCTCACGCAGTGAAAAATCACCCGCCACAGAGAAACGCACGAACACCAAAACGGTAGAAGGTGAAAAACAAAAAACTAAACTCCTAAATTCTTCATAGTTAGCTCATAGCCGTATACTCCCCGTTCCACTATTGTACGTGAAGAAGGCTGTACATTGGGATCGTTTTCCGGTAATCCATAGATGTCCGACGGGTTTATCTGAGTGAGATTTCCTCGATAAACATTGTACAGTGTATTGCTACTGAGTAGAGAGCCCAAGCGGTGAGAACCAAGAAGGGTTGCCTCGGTAAGCCCCACGTCTATGGCGGCCCCCAGGCCATGTGTGGTACGAATACGATTCATGCGCATGCATTCTTCCTGTCGTAAAGAAGTACGCTGAATAAATTCACAGGGATGCATCAAGCCTTCTTGAACTTGAGGGCTCGCAAGCTTAATTTCGGGAATGGACATAGAATTCTCCGCTTTGTGTAAACTGTAAAGTAGGATATCTCACTAAATAAAATGTGTCTATATATCTTTAATAATATTGTAAATTGCGGCTGATAACTGTCACGATCTAAAAACAAGTACATCGCACAAATACAAGGATCGAATGCAAATAGACCCGTCTCATGATTTTTTTAAGTGATTATTCTTAATATGCACAACTTTCTCTTCATTTGGGAAAGGAGGGTTCTAAATGCACAGTAAAGGCCAAGGTAGCATACAGAATATGTTGATAATCTGTAATAAGCAAACGAACAAAAAGGTGTCATGCACGCTTTTATACTCACATACAACGCAACTCTCTACGTTGTACTTGTAAATAATGAATACATGGCGTAAACAATAAATGCGTGTCTATACTTCTCCTTCATGGGTCGCTGCATTAATATATTACCCCGTCTGTTTTCTCAGATGAACATGTGCGACTGTTATATTCAACACGCACGATTTCCAAGTCCTGCTCACACAGCTAGTCTTTTGCCATTAAAAGAAGTAAATAAAAAAAAATAGTAATAAAACAAAAAACACCACTGCCACTGGAGCGTACATCTTCACCAAGCGCATTCGATTCATATCTACGGTCTTTTGGTAATACCGTGCGCTTTGATCCACTAATTGTGCTGAGTAATTATTCATTGTTTCTAACTTCTCGCCGCGCTTCATGAGATCCTCCAAATTTTTCCGCATGACAAAATGTACGTCAGTAATTTCTTGCCTAAGAGATTCATAGTTTGGATTTATCTGACGTCGTCCTGTACCCGTAACCGCACCACTACCACCCCCTAGTGCAAGACCATCTCCCGAGACACGATCCTGCTGAATCACTCGAGCTATGCATTTGCGAAGCACGGTGTCAAATTTAATGAAGTGAAAAGGTCTCAGATGCTTCGATTCAATTTCCTCGATAGTGAAAGCTTGTAAAAACTCCGCCATAACCATATCTAGAAGTTTACAGGCTAGTTTATTCGTTCCAAGTTCATCCGCAGAGTTCCGTAGTAAGACTTTATTCAGAGCAGTGATCACTGTGAGGTTAGTTCCAGAGTCCTGGAAAGCAAAGTAAATGCAATCTTTGTGATCAAAGCTTTGATAATAGCTGCCTCGGGAAGCAGAGCGATCGGCAGTACTCGCAGGCGTCTCCATGCGCTCAATAATGCGCTTCATCTGTTGACGAATAAAATTGGAATTGGAATAATTCTCGTCCGTATAACTACACAACGGTAGCTGATCGTGCATGCGCGCTAACATTACACCAATAAAACACCCATTTGAAGCCATTTTTATGGAAAGGGTAAATTGCTCCAAAAATAGCTAAAATAATCAATATGTTAGCCTTTGAGAAATCTCCACTAGAGTAGTAATGCCTCTTGGACAGATTATTATTTCTAATCGCTATACTAACCTACTAGAAAAAAAATGGTAAATTCAAAATTGGTAGGATTGCAAGGCACAGAAATAAGTGTAAAACAAAACTGAATACAACTCATCATCGCTCCCGCAATGGAAAAAAACACACATTAATAATAACGTCCTTAGTTCATATTTAAATGAATTTTGTATTTCCACCCAAAATACAAGGTAGGAAAGAATAAGAAATCATTATAACGACACTTGAAAAAAGGTTCTTGCCAACTCGAGGTTCATCATGCGTTTCTTGACTTATGATGTCATCGCAGAAGCGGTGCTGGACTCGTACTTCCAGGTTGGGGGCAGCTGCTTGACGCGCTTATAGTAACGAGCTAATCGGTGAATGCGGGACTCCACCAGGATCAAGCGGTACTTGGTATCGCGATCAGTCGGGTGGCGCTCTAAGTGCTTGCGCATCTCGGTCGCGCGCTTCACCAGGCAATACATATCCTCAGGGATCTCCGGAGCGAGGCCTTTGTGCTTCAGGATGCGCAGAATTTTTCGGCCGGTCACGTTCTTCACTTGGGCGATACCCATTGAATCTCGTAGCTCCATACCGATCCGGCTTGGCGGCATGCCCTTCTTGGACAGCTTGCACACCCGCTCCACCACATCGCGACTGGCGATCTTAAGCCATGTCGGCGGAGTTCGGCGGTACGGCAGAGCCGAGCTGGACTTGCCATGACCGTTACCATGCATGCGCACCATTTTTCTTCGGGAAAAACTGAACGTGTATTCGAGCGACTTCAAGAGAAGAAAAGATATTGAGGCGGAAAATGAAGAAACAAGTACAAAGATCACCTGAGTTTGTGGTTATTCATACACATAATGTTCACAGATAATAGAACAGGATGCCAACTTTCCATTTTGTTCCTCATTCATCCATTGAGATGATAAACAGGTGAAGGTTCGAAATCAAATTATTTCGATCCTCACGTATTGTTCACACTTTGAAGTGGATGCAGTATGTTGTATATTTAGCAAGAGGGACTACTCAAACAAACAAAGATAAAAGAATAGCAAGGATCTAGTAACGTATTTTTTCTCGCGAGAAGAAGATTAAAAAGTTTGTAAATTTATAAGCAAAGCAGGAGTCAATATCTGGATGCACATAGAAAAAAGGAAGTAACTGGGTATCGAAACAGTGGTAAAGGGGATATTTTTTTCAGGGAAAAATCGGGGGGAGGTAACACACGAAATTCAGTGAAATAGCATGAGAATCTAAGGCTGACCCGTAAGAACCATCAACAACATCCTGAAGAACCCCGCACTAATGCATCCCATCCCCCCCTCTATACAATTCCATTAATGATCCTTTACCGTAGACACACCAAAGGAGGTGGTAAGAAACACAAGGAATGATGTGGGTGGATAAAAATATAAATATTTATTAATCTATTGCAATGTTTAAAGATACGCCCCACAAAAAAAAAAAACTTACTCCCTGATACGCTGTGATGTCCATCCTTTGCACATGGTAAATTTGATTGGTTTTTTTCCTCTTGTTTCAAAATTCTGCGTTAATTTTGTTTTAGCTATTAACTCAGTCTCGATCCGACCTGAATGTTCAATAAAATGGCTTCTCCATTCCGTACTACTTCCATTGGCAGCTCAGCTGCTACCCGCGCGTGGCGTGACACGATCGCGTTGAAAGCCGCCAGGTCGGTCACGGTGTAGCCAGCAAAACGCACAATGCGGTCCCCGACCTCCAAGCCTGCCTTTGATGCGGGACTTTTCGCCTCTTCACCTTCAGGAATTTCATAGGTGGGTATGACCTCCTTTATACTAATACGCGTGGAGTTGTCTGCACCCCGGTTCACGGTGACACGGAAGCCTAAGTAAGGCTTGATAATACCACACGATGATAGAGACACACTCCGTTGCGATGTGAAATGTGGTGTCCCACAGCGCGTAGACATATTGAAAGTATCGTGGGATCGTCGAGAGGACACCTCCTCGACTTCCAAATCATCCTCGACCGATAAAGCGACACATGAGGGGGTGCGGGGCCGGTGGACAGCCACTCTCATGGTGCCAGCCTTAGCGGTAGCGCGCGTTGCGCCCACCCCCGTGCCCGACACAGAGTCATGAGCCCAATGAGAGCACATACCACCGTTAGTTGTGCTCTCTCCCGCGTAGGAACGATCACGCGAGGGGGTTCGGTGCCCCGGTAGTTTGCTACCGTGGCCCTTGCTGATGACAACACTCGAAAGACGCAGCTGTGGTTGCGGGAAATGGAAAGGAATTTGTTGTCGTCGTAGGGAAGTGCTCTGCACGAAACTGCTCTCCAACGAGGAGGCACAACTGCTGTCCACGACAGTGTTACAAGCGTTTGCAGAGGCATTCTGCACATCTGAAAAGCACGAGCCGCGAAGGCTAGTTGATCCCAAAGCATCACTGCGGCCCTCAGCATCCGGAGGGCCCATCGAAATCGAATTAATGTAAGTATTCGTAAGAGTTTTTAATTGTATTTTCTTCTCCCATAGCATGGGTTGAAGCAACAACAACAACGGTGTCGCATGACGGATCAGTAACGCCGCGGTCGAATCGCTGCACAAACAGCTGTCACTGAGTGGCCGCACGGAACTCGAGCCTCGTATGGAGATACTACCAGTCCCCTCAATACTCATTTCACTATGTGCGATAAAGCTGTCATACAGGACGATGAGCTTCACGACTAAGTTCATGATTTGGTGGCGCAATTTAGTAGGAATCAGACGAGTCCATCGCAGCACATGCGCATGCTGGTGCGTTAATTTAAGTAAAGTCCGCACATCACGCTCGGTTGACGATGACTGTGGCACTCGTGACATTTGCTGATATGAATCCGAAACAGAACAATACTTTGTCGCATCACCTAGGGATGTAGAAGCTGGAGCATTCTGCTTAGAATCACCTATGTGGAAAGGGCACGGGATTGGAGGCGTTTGTGCATAGTTGTGTGACTCGATAGGATGCATTGCTTCATCGTCAGGGAGGAGCACACAGCCTCGCACGTCATCAGATACGCCGCTAGCAGCTAGTATCGGCAAAAAGATATTATTTTGCCTGAGATCAATACCGACATCGCGTGCAGCATCACTAAGTACTGTGATCAGCTCCTCCGTGATAGCTTCAAATGCTTCTGCAAGCGTTTTGTATTCGGTCCCCTGTGTATACGAAGCTGCCTGAGGTCTCGAATTCGTGGCGTGATTATTATGTTGTAAAAGTGTCATGGGTACGCAATTATCCGAGACTGGCATGGATTGCCCACGAAGGCGGTTTGTCATCGTAACACTCCACGGTGACACGCCACCGGCGGCATGCTCGTTCTGATGCTGCAAGTCCTCCTTGAATAGTGCATGTGAAGGGCGAGTACCAGTGCTGCCGGGCCGGTACTCCTGCCCAGAGTCAGCAGTGTTCCTAAGATAAAGGGAGCCATAAGTGGCATCTAAATCACCAAGATTGTTGTCAGCGACTGCGGTGGTATTTAGGTCGACAATATGAAGTCGTGTAGCAAGGTTGTGTGCGACAATTAAAGCTCGCCCATCCCGACAACAATGGAAAACTTCCCCCTTGAGCGTTAACAAAATAGTCTGTAAAAAGTGAAATCTAGGTGTGTTGACACGCTCAGACGCGGAATAAGTGGTTGCGACTGATGAAGAGCAACGTTCGTCAGTGACATTGGATATGAAACTAATATCTGCAATGGCACCCCCTGAAGACATTGAACGACGATGATTACAGTGTGTAAATGTACTAAGATGGGCACCAATACCAAACAGATGGCACACACGAGAAGGTATAGATTCGGCAGTTGTGTTAGGTTGAGAGTGGGCTCTGCAGCCGCTGATGTAGCCCTTGGTATTTTGTAGTTGTAGTTGATTGGAACCGGTGCGACTCATGATTAAATAATTCAGCAAAGGCACATTGAGGAAACTTCCAAGCAAAATACACATAGCTTCCGTCATCTGCATTGCTGTAACTTCTTCTCGTGCGATACACTCCGCTGCCTTCACGGACTCGCGTTCAGCTGTTGCCTGCATAACGCATCTTTCAAGTTCTACCTCTTCAGAACGAAGCTGTTCTAGTGAAGATGTATTGCTAGTGACACTCTGCAAGCTTATCCATTCCCGATACATGGTATATTTTTCGTCCTTCACACGAGCGTTTTTCGCAACATACAACGCATAAATACGCCACTTCCGAAAGCATGACGTCTGCAGCACCATACTGCGGATCAACAGAAAGGAATAAGGTTCTTCGTGTGGAAGAAGCGGTATCACGTTATTTTCGCACCCTTGAATCTGCTCCTGTTGTCGAATAATCAACTCCTTCCACTGGTTATAGTAACGCCAACGCAGCAGCTGTCTCGAAGACTCACCGAACCGGTGCATTAGCCAAAGCAGCTGCAGATGCTGCCCTTGCCATCGAGTCACCTGTCCTAAACGAATCTGCGGCGTGGTACCATAAGTCCCACAGAAAGGGGTGCTAAAAGATAGGAGACGATTAAAAATGCTCTCCCGTCGTTTCAGGATGAGTCGAAATCTAGAAGTGGTAGCCCATAGACAAAATACGTCCCGGAAGAGATTTTGTCTGCAAACATGTTGTCGATATGTGATGACAGTAGCGCAAATACGCCGGTGTGTTGTGGCCAATGCATCCAGACATTCATGAAAAGTACGATAATTCTCTACACTTTTGGCACTTTCCCTACTGTAGCGGCTACGAGCTTGAAGTAGGACTACCGCATCAGACCATCGGTGCTTGCAATACTTGCGCCACCACAGCCTCCAGCGATCCCAATAAATGCGCATGACATGCTCATCAAACATGATAAGCTTTTCTCTTGGTTGTGAAAACTGCTTGGCCATGGACCGCTTTTGTGAACCCCACCTCTGTAGGACGAGGAAGTATCGGAGGAGGAAACTGCGAGTGCAAACCCGCTGCATGATTAAGGCGTTCTGCCGTACATTCTCCAGCTGCATATCCTCCAACGTTCCCATAGTGCAGACCTTCGAAACAATAACTTTGCCCTCTTGTACTTTAGTCTGCAGATCGCCTTGCTGAGTGGCGAGATGAAGCTCACGGAAAGACGGTTCACCTACACGGTGCGTCGTAGGCCTCCCTCCGGTATCTTGCGCCATAGTAGTTCGATCCATTTGTATCACAGTTTTTACACTTGTTACATGCGAGGAGACCCCCGAGGGTTGGTCACACGATGGCTCATATCGAAAAAACGTGGACGAAATCAGAAAAAAACGCTTCATGGTGGTAGTGCGGAGGGGTATGTATACCGAAGAAAACGAAATAACGGGTGGTTTCGCTTGCAAAACCATCGGCATCTCTTCAGAAAGGAGGTCGTAGGCGAGAAGGGTACCATCAACCACACCCAATAACAGGCGGCATTGCTGACGATCAAAAAAAATTGTTGAAAGGGGTGTCTTGGCAGGGACTGTTAGGCTACGGAGAAATACCCCAGAGGGAAGGCCAAACACTTTGGCGGTCCCATCGCGGGATGCTGTAACAAGTAGGCGATCCTTAACCACAACCAGACCAGATATAAGATCGCTATGAGCGTTGTCAATGGGCCAGTTGAAGTCGTAAGGGTTCTGGAAATCCTTCCCAGAGGGGTGGCAACAAGGCAAGTAGATGTTGGGGGAGGCAACACAAAAATGTGGGACTGAAGTCAATGCACGCAGATGTTCCTCTGAGTGATGCAATGCGATTGTAGCCACCTCCGTCATTTTTACAACATTGGATTTGCTTAATTTTGGCCCGTTGAAGCGACAACTCCTGGTCGTATTATCAATGTTGCCCTTCCTACTCGGACATACGGAAGTTCGCAAAGGGGTAAAGCAAGCACTAGGAGCTACTGATGACCTGGCTATACTATGCCTTCCGCCACCCCTCGCATCTGGAAGGGATCGTGCAGAAAGAATGCTTCTCATTAACGGCGCTTGTTTGGAAACAAAGCTTAGTGGTCTTTCCTTAGCAAGCTTCCCACGTTTAATTCTCTTCGGCATATGCACAGAATGAGAAATAGTGTCAGAGCCCACAACAGAAGAGGAAGAAAGGCTATATCGTTTGTCTTTAGCGGGTCGTTTGGGTGTACTATTAGCTTTTTCATGTGGCTTACTTCGGTGAAATTCTTCCTTGGGCGCGGTAAGCTTTTGGTGATGCACCAAAGCCCGGCGTTCCCCCTCTTCAAGCTTCACCTGCGTGTTTGTCATCAGATTCCACAACCGAACAGTGCCATCTACACTGCCGCTGATAGCATAGCAACCACACATGCTCGCAGTAAGTGCACTAACACCATTACGGTTGTCTTTTAGACGCGCAACCAGTTTCATAGTCTTGCTATCCCACACACCTATAGTCCAGTCTAGGGAACCAGTGAGAATGACAGTGAACGATTCTCCACTAGCGACACCCATTGGTTCTGTACTACTACTATCATTCTTCTTACCGTATTCAGGAAACGTAGAAGAAAGAGGGAAAACAGATGGTAACGTGACGATTGTCATGCAAGTAATGGAGGCAGTGTGAGCCTGAACCTCCTGCAACTCTTTTAGTGTGCAGGCATCGAAGACTCGTATCTTGCCATTGCTGTGCCCCGCGGCAACCCTGTTTAGACCAATACACAAGAGAGAGGTCACGAACGTAGGTGTGGACGTCTTTGGAACAAGGGCCATAACTGTACGAGGGTTTGCCATGGAACGTATCTCAATACTCCCGTCCTGAGCTGAAACCCACAGGGTTGTGTACAGGCCGGTTTTAAAAAGCTGTGACATGTTGAGAGTCTGGCTGCAGGCTATTGAGTTATTTCTGCATCCACGATTGTGTGGCGGGATATGACTCCCAGATGGTCGAATGGAAGTGAGCGAAGTGCTTCGACGGTAGTGATTTTGGGCACCTGACGTATCTCGTCTGCTACCTACAGATGAAAAACGCAGCGGATGAGCGCGTAAATGGGCAGTGCACAACGCCAGTTGGGTTCGAGATTCACTAAGAGCTGACTCAGTTCCCCCAATAATGGAGTTGCCACCAGTATGATTCATGCTCATGTAGCCACTATCGGTACTTTCGGCATACTCCCTGTGATTACCAGACACATTGCCTACAACTCCCTCTTCAAGCTCTTCTACATATGTTTTATTTCTAAGCCAAGTTGGATTGTCATATCCTGAGGAGACAGCGTCGGCCCTTGAATTCTTTGCAGAGGCTTCTAAAGCTAGTTGAAGCTTGTCTTCCTGAGAGTCGCCATCGTAGCAGTTTGCCCTAGTGTTTTGAGTTGGTTTTGATTCAGTAATGATGTCTGAAGGGACTCTAAGAGCATCAAGATGAGACGATGGGGTGACTGCGAGCGGATGGAAATCTGTGAGTGGGCAAACTCTGGCACTATTACAAAACATAATCGATGCATCTGTTCGCACTGTCACTGAAGTAGCAGCCTTGAAAATTCCAAAAAAGCTGCGTTCAGGAAGAATGTTGAAATAAGGCTGACTAACAGTGGAAGGAATGGAGGTAGAAGTGGGTCGAAGCGATGGCAGTGATGAAAGAGGAAGTGGTCGAGAGGAATATGGAGTACTTAATAAGCGACTTACGCCAGGTGTTTTGGGGCGCACAGATGTAGTTGAATTCATATCTGCTAGCAATGATCGCCCTATAGTACTACAAACACACGGATCATCCGCGCGTTTCTGCGTAATAAGGTTAGTTGAATGGTTTCCATGCCCATGAGATGGAATAGTAATTTTATTTCTGCCTTGTTTTTTATACGATACCAATAAAGGAGATGCCGCGACCCTCCGTCTTATTTCACCCTTTGATCCAGATGTAATTGGTGGTCTCGCCATGGGGCACCCTTTATGCGGTGTTTGATGCTGCTGAGAAGCCAATCGAGACCACGTAAGCTTGTCTTTGTTGGGCTCCATCTTAGATTTATATGAAACCACAGTAGAGACTTTCATTGTATTTTTCCAACTAATATTAATAATACTACAATAAAAATATATTCTTTGTTGTAATATGTATTCTATGCTATAAACACATATACTGACAAGTATTTTTGTCAGGCTAAATTTCAACAAAAGGTGGATTTGGACCTAAAATCAGAAATGAATACCGCAGTACTAGGATGGAAAAACGCTACTACAAATGTAATAGTTTTCCCTAATTATCCCCAAGATAACCCTATCTACTTTAGCGCTTCTATGTAATCTTACAGGAAAAGATATATATATATATATATATATATATATATATATATATATATATATATATATATAAGTAGTAGTAAGTA